GTGAGGATCATGGTGCACCCGCACGTGACAGCGGTCAGCGAGCAGCCCCGGGCGGCAGACGGGGTGGTGAAGGGGCCGCCGGCCAGCAAGGTCCCGCAGCAGCCCGGGAAAGACGCGGCCAAGACGGCGGAAGCCAAAGCGGCCCCGGCCCCCGCGCCCCACGGGGAGGCCCGCATCCTCACGGTCACCCCCAGCAACCAGCTGCAGGGGCTGCCTCTGACCCCACCTGTGGTGGTGACGCACGGCGTGCAGATCGTGCACTCCAGTGGGGAGCTGTTCCAGGAGTACAGATACGGAGACATCCGCACCTACCACGGCCCCGCTCAGCTCACGCACACTCAGTTTCCGGCCGCCGCCTCCATCGGTCTACCTCCTCGGACCAAGGCTGCCGCTCAGGTGAGTGCCGCGCTGCCGCGTCGCTCCCTGCGCTGGTTGGGGTACCAGCGCCGGCCTGGACACGTGTCGCCCTTTCTGTGAGTTTAAAGAGGCGCTCCCCAAATTGCAGGGTGAGGGAATTCGATCACCGTGCAGAGGGCCGAGACCCGGGAAGGCGCTCTCTGGGGGGACTTGATGGGGGCCGGTGCCTCCTTGCAGGGGTGTGGGGGAGAGTGAGCGGGTGACCTCTCCCCGGAACCCTCAATGCTGAGTGCCCAAGAGGATCACTGCTGTGGGCCTGACTTCCAGGGGGTGCCTGCAGCTGACCCTGCCCGGGAGCCCATGGCTGGGGAGTGGGGTGGGGGGGGGGGGCGGTGGGCAGGGTGCCGTGTGTAACACGCTCTCCTCTCCGTTCCTCTCTCCCCTGCCGAACTCTAGGGCCCAGCTCCTGAAGGTGAGCCCTTGCAGCCCACTCAGCCTGCACAGTCTACACAGCCGGCCCAGCCCGTGCAGTCCGCACAGCCTGCCCAGCCCACGCAGCCCTCCCAGCTCGGCCAGCCGGGCCAGCCGGGCCAGCCACCAAGCAGCAAGATGCCTCAGGTCTCCCAGGAGGCGAAGGGGACCCAGACAGGAGTAGAACAGCCTCGCCTCCCAACCGTACCTGCAACCAGGCCAGCCGAGCCTCATGCCCAGGTTCAGAGGGCGCAGGCAGAAACCAGCCAGACCTCCTACCCCTCCCCCGTGTCCGTCTCCATGAAGCCTGACCTCCCGGCCCCTCTCCCTGCTCAGGCTGCCCCAAAGCAGCCGTTGTTTGTCCCCACAACCTCAAGCCCCAGCACCCCTCCAGGACTGGCTCTGACGCACACCGAAGCCCAGCCCGCTCCCAAACCAGATTCTTCTCCACACTTGACTTCCCAGAGGCCTGTGGATATGGTCCAGCTCCTGAAGGTAAGCCTGGGCAGGGGGCCTCCCCGGCTCCCCCCCGAGCTTTGCGCTGTGTTGAAGGTCCTAAGGTCCCCACTTAGACCAGTAAGCTGTTGTCTGGGGCCATGTCCAGCATGGCTCTGCTCTGCAGCCGGGAGCTTACTTCCTGTTTGTCTCCCCGAGAGCAGAAGTACCCCATCGTGTGGCAGGGCCTGCTGGCCCTCAAGAACGACACAGCTGCCGTGCAGCTCCACTTTGTCTCTGGCAACAATGTTCTGGCCCATCGGTCTCTGCCCCTGTCGGAAGGAGGCCCCCCGCTGAGGATCGCCCAGAGGATGCGGCTGGAGGCCTCACAGCTGGAAGGGGTTGCCCGAAGGATGACGGTGAGCTTAGGGGCCCAGGCGAGCGACTGCCCTGCCCATGAGGGAGGACGTGGCTTGCCCCGCGCGTTCTGTCGCCGGCGGGGGTGTAAAATGCCTCTAGGCTCAGAAACCGTTTTTTTTTTTCAGTCAACAAATTGGGTGGACTTTAAGGGCGGGGCGGGGGGGGGCGTCTTTTGTGGACTCCGCAGCCGAACCCCTGGTCGGACAGGCCTCCACATGGGGCCACTGTCCTGAGGGGAGGCCCCGGATGACCGACAGCTGCTGCTGTCTCCACAGGTGGAGACAGATTACTGTCTGCTGCTGGCTCTGCCCTGCGGCCGTGACCAGGAGGATGTCGTGAGCCAGACCGAGTCCCTCAAGGCGGCCTTCATCACCTATCTGCAGGCCAAGCAGGCGGCAGGGATCATCAACGTTCCCAACCCTGGCTCCAATCAGGTCAGCCCACTGTCCACACATGGTCAGGCTGGTCAGCCGTCTAATCGGGCTACCAGTGCCGACTCCGAGGAGTCCAGGGGTTTCTCCGAGGTGGGCAGAAGGGCGTTTTGGATAGAGGACTCGAGCGGAGTGTAGAGGTGGGGCCCCCGTGGCCCATCCTGGAGCTAACCCAGGGCGGGACCGCTGAGACCACAGAGGTTTTCAGCTCCGGGCTGCGGAGGCTCCCCCGGAGGGTCGTTCAGGTGGCTAGTTTGCTGACACCTAGGTTCTTCCTGGTGGACAGTCCCGGGGGCATTAGCTGATGGGGAAACGGACTCACCCGAGCTCGGTGTATTGGGCCCCCAGTTGGGAATGTTCAAGAATGGCAGTGGGGTGGCTGATGTGGAGACCGGGGATCCCACTCTTCTCTCTCGTCCACCCCCCCCCCCCCCAGCCCGCCTATGTGCTGCAGATCTTCCCGCCCTGCGAGTTCTCCGAGAGCCACCTGTCCCGTCTGGCCCCCGACCTCCTTGCCAGCGTCTCCAACATTTCTCCCCACCTCATGATCGTCATCGCCTCCGTGTGAGCCACTGATGGCCACCACTCGGTGTATTTCCCCGAGGCTCTGCAGCAGAAAGTAAACCCAGGACCCCCCAGTCACGTGGAGGAAGCAGCTGCCGAAGGGGACGTCCTCCACTGCCAGCCGCCAGCCTTGCCCTCGAGGCCGCTCCCCCCCCAGGCTCAGGGGGGCAGACCCCTCCGGGCAGTGGTGCTGCTACCTGTGTGTTTACATGACATTTAGCCCGAGGACAGACCACCCCCCCGATGGACTCTGCAGACACCTTGGGGCTGGGTTTCTCTCTCCTCTTTTTGGAGAAAAGGAACGGGGCAGTGGAATTAATTTTTTTGTTTTTGTTTTTAAGAAACAGAACAGAACTGCTTTTGCACTAAATTAGTGACTTGGACTTTTGCACAGTGAAGACAGGCTGTGACACTCTGGATGTCTTGGTGGACCTGAAACACACACATCGAGGACTCGAGCGCAGGACATCAGGTTTCTGCCGAAACACTGGGGTCAAGGAACATTTCATTGGGTTGTTTTGTCCCCACCCCGCCCTTCCCCTTGTTCATTTGAATGTGTCACCTTTCTCAGTTCTCCTGCCGCCACCATCTTTGATTCACCCGGATGTATAGTTTACAATCGAAAAAGAGCAGACAGGAGGATTCTCTTTCCTGGTGTGGGATATACGGAACTTGGGATGTGTGTACATATAAATATATAATATATATAAATATATATAATACCGACTTAAAAAAAATCAAATTCCCCTGACATACATTTTTTTTAATCTGTGCCAAAAATGTGTTTTCAGAGAAGAATCTTATTTTCATACTCAGACTTTGTATTGTCACTCATTTGTATAAGTGCGCTTCGTTACAGCACGGGCCCTGCCCCCGCGATTTGGAAGTGTCACACACACAAAAAGACTGTACAAAAAAGACTGGCTTCCCCCCTTCCTGTTACCTTGACCTCTTCCCCCCCCCCAACTTCCTAACACTTATTAATTTATGAAACTGGTTTTCTCAGCGCAGTTTTGTTTTGTGTGTCCATTGGATTACAAACTTTATTAAAAAATACAAAACACGTCAAGTGTGGATGTGACTGTCACTTGGGAGGACCAAGGGTCCTTTGCTTATGGGAACAGCTGGCTCTCATCCCGCTTGTTTCCCTCCCCCAGTCTGTCCATGGGACCTGCTCCCTTCCTGCCACTTAATCCTCCCCAAGCATCATGTTATCTCGTACAAAAGAGGTTTCTGCCACAGACCGAACTTATTTGTTCTCGGGTAACGTGGAAGGCACTTCACAGTTGGATTGTGGGGGGGGGGGTGAGGAGGGGGCCGGGGGAACCACCCACCAGGCAAACTCTGAAACCTCGTAGGCAAACTTTGGTGTCTCGTCTCTTGCCCCGTCCTCCTCCAGGCCTGCCCCGGCGCCAGCAAGGAGGGTGGGGCGACTGGGCCCGGCTCCCCCTGCAGCTGGACCCACTACAAGCTGGGGAGGCGGGGTGTGGGGACAGGACCACAGAGTTGATGGTCTCACTTGAGAGAATCACGGGGCTCTCGGAGTGAGGAGGTGGCGCCATCTCTGAGGGAGGGATTACAACTGCTCGGAGCAAACTGTAGAGGGGCAGGGACGGCGTCAGCTCTCCCTCCTGAGGAGGGTAAGGATGAGCTGTTCTACGGCCCCTGCTGGCCGTGTCCCCCACCTCCCCCCATCAAAGCCCCTGGCCACGCGTTTCTGACCCTCAGCCTGGTCGTAGACTCCATCGGTTGAGGGCAAATAAATGTTCCCGAAAGAGCGGGGCACTGGCTCGGCCTTGATCCTGTGAAGTGAGGGGGGAGCCCTCCTGCTTCCCCAAGCCCAACAGAACTGGGCCCGTGGCCCGCTGGGCCTGGCTCTCTGCCTACCTTGCCGCTCTGGCTGAACGGGCTTCTGAGCTGGGCTCTCTCTGGGGTGCCTGGATCCTGGTAAGCCAACCCAACTGGGCAGAGGGGGAGCAGGGTCACAGCTGTGCTCCACGGCGGAGAGGGGAGCGCAGGTCCTGAAGCTGAACAGGTGAGAAGCCCAAGGGGGAGACTGGATGAGGGGATGGGGTGCACGGAGCCACGGTCTCTCTGGCCCCAAGCGTGCCGCCCACACCCCGACTCCGGACAAGGAAGCCAGCTTTTTTTTCCTAGACCGGTCCAGAGGCACCAGTCCCACTCTGCGGGAGGGACAGCCTGGCCGCTTGGCCAAGGAACAGGTCGGTGCCGGCTGGTGCCTGGGAGGGGCAGCCCTTCCATGGCTTCGGCCACAGCTCTGCCAGCTCCCCGCCCCACCCCCACAGGGAGCTATAGGCAGCGTTAGAAAATAATCGAATTTATTCTCTCTAGGGAACGGGGCCACCCGTCTCAGATCTAGGGTGCCGGCCATCCTTAAATAAACAGTCACAAGGAGGGACGCCCGCTCACTCCGCAGGCGGTGGACATTCAGGGGCTGTGGGGGGCGTCTCTGCCAGAGCGGGCTGGCCATCGGCCCCGTCCCGAGGGCGGAAGACCAGCTCCCCAGCCTGCAGCACCTGCCCGGCCGGCCACGCGCTGCCCGGCCCGTACTGCTGGTAGAAGTCCGCGTCCGTCTGGAACATGACCAGTGCCTGGGCCGTGTGGATCCGCACGTGCTGCGCGAGGCTGTTCGCGTCCAGGAACTTGTCCCCACAGGAGTCACAGGCGTAGAGGATGTGGGTGTTGGGGTCTGTGGGAGGTGGGGGCCGTGGTCAGGATGGGGACGGCCCTCGGGGTCCACCTGTGTTCACACTCCGGGCGGCCCCTCTCACCTTCCTCCTGGACTTGCTTCACGGCTTTGCTGATCTCGGCCTTAAGTACCTCCGTCTCGTCGGCGGTCACCGCGGCCCCCACTGGTACCACTGCGGGCAAAGGCGGGCGGAGTCCGCAGGGCCTCAGGCCTCAGGCGCCCGCCCCGCCGCGGCCACCGCGGAGGCCAGCTGCCCGTGACCACCCCCTGCTGCCCGCAGCCCGCACCTGTGAGCTGAGTGACGGCCGTCGCCGCCAGTGCCTCGGTGGCCAGCGTGACCATGTCATCCACGGTGACCACGCTGACCTCACCCCCCTCCTCGGGCTCCAGGATTTTGATGCCCGCCTTGCCCTGGTGCACAGTCTTCACGTGGGAACGCAGGTTGTCCACCCGGTTGAAGCCACGACCGCACTTGTCACACAGGTAAGGCTTCTCTCCTGGGGGGGAAGGCAAGGTTCTCGCCTGCCGTTGGGGGGGGGGGGGGAGGACCTCAGTGGCCTCCAGCTTCCCCCAAAACCCTGTCCTTTCCAGCAGCAAGTGCTCTGGGGCAGCCACCAGGGCTGCACAGAAGCCTCCAGCGGCCACCGCACCTTCTGGGAACTAGGAAAATGGGGTCCTCATTGGAACTGGACCTCCCAGGCCCCCTGCAGCAAGGACTGGCACCCAAAGCTGGGATCTGCAGGCACCTCCCTTCCCACCACCCCCGCCCCCAAGAACACGGCCGGATGGGGCAGGCGGGCACCAGCTCACCGGTGTGGATGATGATGTGCTTGGACAGGTCCCCCACGTTCACGAAGGCCTTGCTGCACACGCTGCACTTGTGAGGACGAATGTTGTCGTGGTGGCGAATGTGATTGGCCAGCTGGCTGGACTGGACGAATCTGCGGCGCGCAGAGCAAGCGGCTGGCACCGAACGGCCCGAGCCCCGAGGTGCGGGGGCGGGGGGCGGGGGGCTGGGCTGGGGCCTCCTGCCTCCTCTTCTGGATCGAGGCGGCCCTGGGGACCTGTGCCTGGGCGGGCGGCAGCCGGGCCGCTGCCAAGCGAGCTCTAGGTTCGTTTCCTGACCCCCTTCCCCGAGCGAGCGGGCTGCCAGGGACCCCCGTGGGGCCCGGGGCGTGCGGGGGGGCGGGGGGAGGGCCAGGACCTCTTGCCGCAGCGCTCGCAGACGTAGGGCTTCTCCCCGGTGTGCTGGCGCACGTGCGCGATCAGGGAGCTGGCCTGGGTGAAGGCCTTGCCGCACATCACACACTGGCACGGCTTCTCGCC